CACGCCCCCCCGCGCCCCCCTGATGCAAGCCCCCAGAATTGCGTCTATTCTGCGGTGCGTGCGTCTATTCTGCGGGTGTTTCCTTTTAAAGTTTTTTACAAGGCACGCACGTGCAGCATAGCCTCTAAGTGTCCATCTTACCCCACCCCCCCCCTCCCCCCCCCCTTCTTTTTCAAGGGGGCCCCCCCCCCCCTCCCCACCCCCCCTCCCCCCCCCCTCCCCCCCCCCTCCCCCCCCCCCCCCCCCCGACCCCCCCCCCGCCCCCCCCCTCCCCCCCCCCCCCTCCCCCCCCCTCCCCCCCCCCCCCCCCCCCCTCCCCCCCCTCTCCCCCCACCCCCCCCCCCCACCCTCTTGTTCAAGTGGGGGGGGGGGGGCCCTTTCCCCCCCCCTTGGTCAATTCCCCCTTTTATCAATTTTAATAAGATTTCGATTTACTTGAATAGAAATTAACAAATACAAAATGTGAATTTTATTTAATAGGGAGCAAGGGTTTCTAGCTTCTATGAGTGGCATTTCTATTTCTTTTAATAAAAGTATTCTTGATAGGGTTTCACTTGATTTTAATTAAAGTTTTAATAGGACTTCTTTTGATTCTAATCGGGTTAGAATTTTTGTTCATTTTTCAAAGATTTCTAATAATATGAATGAGGTTTTTATTCCTTCTAATAAGATTTGTATTACGTTTAACGGGATTCGTATTAAAATAATAGAAATCCTTTTCGAATTAAGTTCAACTCCTATTACAATTAATTGAACTGCTATTAAAATTAGTAGAAGTCCGATTTGACAAAATAATTCCAACCCTATTAAAATTGAATTGAAATGCTACGAAAAAAGAAGGCAAATAGAAATCTTGTTAATTAATAGAAATCCTCTTGAAATTAAAACGATTCCGATGAAAAACAATAGGAATCCTACCAAAAATGGCAGAGGAAATGTGGAATTTAGCATGGGGGGGGGGCTCCCCCCCCCCCCCTTTTCTTTCTCCTGCTCACGTCTTGTTGAAGCTCCAGCGAAGGTGATTGAGCGAATGTGAAACAACCACAGATACTGTTCTGCCCAAGTTGTTGGGAGTGGTTCATGTTGAGATGTACAAGCGGCAGGCCTCAAGCTGGAGCCACGTCTCTTCAAGTCGTACTCTTTCAAAAAGAAAGCAAGAATTGAAGCAGAGCATGGCTTCTCACCCTCGTCGTCCTGACTCTCGTCTGCAATCTGGACTGATCGTGTTGTTCTTATTCTGACATGCCATCCTGCATTCCAGACTAGGTCGCATAAGGAGGTCAAGTGGAAAGAGGGTTCCAGGCACTTGTGGGTACTGTAAGCCGCAAATACACGGTCTATCCGGATGCGACTGCGGGATCATTTTGTTGCGAGACTTCTTGGCTGATGCCCGCGCCTCTTGACAAGCACCTTCGCATGTATTCTTGCAGGCTTTCCAAGGCTAAGTAAGAAGCCTAGCCACTGAAGTTAACACTCATTGATTTAACGCTGTGCGCGACGAAGGCAAAGGTCCGTAGTTGCCTGCGTTGTTTAGGGTAAGCCAGTTTGTTGGAGCTTGCCCTCATGCTGCTGGAACTGCGTGAAGCTTAGCCCAGCCTGGCCCAGCTGCAATTAATGCAAATCCCAGTGCGGTGTGGTTGACGCCTGCCGGAAATTTCATCCTGGGGATACGCCGCATGAGGATAGGGCAGCTTCCATGCTTGGCCCAGCGTAGATCCTCGTCATCGTCGTAGCTTCATAGTCATGCCATCCGAGCCGTCTTTTGTGCACGAGCGTGAGTGAGGGTGCAGGCTTTTAAGGTTCACGACGCAGGAATCAGTTGAGCAAAGCAGGCTGTCTTCTTGCAAAGTTCCCCCAGGCCCAGGCTACGCCGGCCATTCCAACGCCGCAGTGGCCAAGGTGGCAGCGCCACGGGCTGTGCCGCATCCTGGCCAAACTGCTGTCTGGCAAATTCTTTGCAGCGTACGCGTGGGAGGGCCCAGATAGGGCTTTGGGGTTTTGGGGATGTTCTGGGCTTCAGATCTGGCCTTTTCTGCAAAAGGGCTCTTACGTGGCGGCTCCAGTGAAAAAACGCGGGGAAGGGCCCAATCAGAAAACACGAAGGGGCCAATCAGGACGCACAAGGGCCGACTCAGGACGCAGGAGGGCCGGATCAGGACGCGCAAATCTGGCCGAAGATGCTGCGACAAGCCTCCTGTGAATTGATGCACTTATCTTGCCTTATGCACTTCTCTTGCCGCCTTCACAGACAGTTCTCTCCTCCATCCTGCTGCTATGATTGTCCCCGGAGTTTGCCGCATTTACAAATCTGCCACGACGCCCCTGGTCTGGAGTTCGGCCTTAGCTTGCCGTCTTTTATAAACTTGCAAGGACACGCCTCCTCTGCAATTCCTTTTTAGCTTACCGTATGATCAGGCGCGCTTCCAGCTGCAGGGGCGCTCTGCGCGCAGTGGCTAGTCGACTCCCGACCAACAGCCTAAAGACACAAACTTTACACTCTCAACCCTGAATACCCCTCAGCTTCCCTAAGCCCTGGAAATCGGAGCCCCGAGACCAAGCACCAAACCCCGGCTTTATGTTTCTTGGCGTTAGGATCTAGGCTCGGAAACTGATGCCATTCCTGTTCAGCACGGTCCGATGCTTCTGAAGATCGCGTCGGGCGCGCGCGCAGCGTGTGGCTCGCGTTTGTTCTGCAGTGCGCACGCGCTTGTGGCCGCTACTTCGTTGTTGTTTTCATATATGGGGTACTTCTACTTAGCCGGACTGCCCGCATGTCTTCGGCTCGCTGGACTGCTTCTGATTGGCCTCTTTTCTAACGTCTGAAACTTTTAAATATTCTAGTTTTCTGCTCTTGAAAGTTCGAAAGTCTTCCACTAGCGCATTCTTGCCTCTCTCCGGCTGCGCGAGAGGGGCCTTTTCCACTCCCGTTTCCCGATTGGCGCGTCCCGATTGGAGTCTGCCGTGTTCCGATTGGCGCTTCCCGATTGGCCCCTTTTCTAACGTTTGAAATCTTAATTTTCCAGTTTCCCACTCTTAAAAATTGCGAAGTTTTCCCATAGCGCGTTCTTGCCGCTCTCCGACTGGGCCAGAGTGGCCGTTTCCACTACTATGATCCCATTTTGCGATTGCATTAGGGGAAACGCAATGCAGTATTGTGATCTCTTGAATCAATAGGACATCCCCATTAATCCGAGCACCTGTTTAATCAATACCCCCACATTTAAAGAAATGTTTTTCGTCCGGAAGGCCGCCGGAAGACTACTTTCCATTAGGGTGGATTTCGTATGGGGATAACCCCCCACATTTACAGAGTTTTTTTCGGGGGTTCCAAAAATCTGTCGGCAGGCTTCTTGTTTTGCTTGCGGAGATGCGAAGCTACAGCACCTCAAGGATCTGCAGCCTATTGTCTTTAATAGAGAATCAATGCAGGGCCATGGTCCAATTATTGCGGAACCCTGCCTTCCTTATTGCGGTGGGGCCCCCCCCCCCCCCAATTAAACAGGTGCTCGGATTATGTGTTGTGCGCCATGTGGGGGCAACTCGAGTCCTTCTATGGTGACGTTAATACATGTCCACAGCGATCATCACTTGCCTGAAGCTCCGTGCAGATTCAGCGAGTCTCGTTTTTCCAGCCCTTCTTTGGCCTTTCCTGCCGTTTTATCCGTTTCTTCAGTAAGCCCCTTGTGCTTTACACCAGCCCCCGAAACCTAACCCTAAACCCTAAACCCTAATTAAACCCTAAACCCTAAACCCTAAACCCTAAGCCCTAAACCCTAAACCCTAAACCCTAAACCCTAAACCCTAAACCCTAAACCCTAAACCCTAAACTTCAGTTCCATCCACGGCACCTCCCAAAGTGCAATGACCGGGCCTGCACCTCTGGTAGTCCGTTGGGCTTGAGGGTTCAGGGTTCTGGGTTCAGGGTTCAGGGTTTAGGGTTTAGGGTTTAGTGCTTAGGGTTTAGGGTTTAGGGTTTCGGGGTCTAGTTTTCACAACGCCTTCCTTCCCAGCCCTGATATACCCCACCCCCCTTTTCCGTTGAACCAAAAACCCTAAACGGAGGAAGCAAATGTAAAAGCTCGTCCAAACCCTAAACCCCCTAGACTGCCAAAACCCCCTACAGCCCCAAAACCCCCTAAACCCCTTACACCCCCTAAACCCCCTAAACCCCCTAAACCCCCAAAACCCCCTAAACCCGACACCCTAAACCCTACACTCTAAACCCTAAACCCCCTAAACCCTAAACCCCTAAACCCTAAACCCCTAAACCCCTGAACCCCTAAACCCCTAAACCCCTAAACCCCTAAACCCCTAAACCCCTAAAACCCCAAACCCTAAGCCCTAAACCCTAAACCCTAAACCCCAAACCCCAAACCCCAAACCCCAAACCCCAAACCCTAAACCCTAAACCCCAAACCCTACAAGTGCCTTCGCCAGGCTGCGGTACTCCGCCGCCTGTTTCGAAATAGTCCTGGACCACCGGGTGGCAAGGGCAACCAGGAAGGCGGAGCTCGGAACCCTAACAACTGTAGGGTTTAGGGTTTAGGGTTTAGGGTTCAGGGTTTAGGGTTTAGGGTTTAGGGTTTAGGGTTTAGGGTTTAGGGTTTAGGGTTTAGGGTTTAGGGTTCAGTGCAGAGTCTAAACCTTAAACCTTCCCAAACCTACCATCCCATAAGCCCTCTAAGCCCTCTAAGCCTAAACCCTAAACCCTAAACCCTAAACCCGAAACCCGAAATTTTAAACCTTAAACCCTAAACCACGCGCAATTTTGTGCAAGAACTCTGCTTGGCCCAGTGTCGACAGGTCGATGCTCCACTGAAACCTGGTCGTCCCCCCCGGAGGCGAGGCGTTTTTTGCAGTTGAGGGGGTTTAGGGTTTAGGGTTTAGGGTTCAGGGTTTAGGGTTTGGGGTTTAGGGCTTAGGGTTTAGGGTTTAGGGTTGCGGTCCTGGGCTTCGGGTCGGATTTGGGGTGAGGGGGTTTAAGGGTTTAGGGTTTAGGGTTTAGGGTACAACCCTGGTCTGGTGAAGTGGGACCCTGTCTCTCTTGGGTTTGGGGGTGCCGGGACCCTCAGCCCTCAACCCTAAAACCTAAGGGACCCTAAGCCCTAATTAAACCCTAAACCTTGAACCTTAAACCTTAAACCCTACACCCTAAACCCTAACCCTAAACCCCTAACCCCTAAACCCTAAACCCTAAACCCTAAACCCTAAACCCTAAACCCTAAACCCTAAACCCTAAACCCTAAACCCTAAACCCTAAGCCCTAAACCCGAAACCCTAAACCCTAAACCCTAAACCCTAAACCCTGGACCTTTAATACCCTAAACCCTAAACTGAAGAAGGTCTCAAACCCTTGGAGTTCACTCCAGCCGCTTTGGAAGGCTGCGAATGTGGAGTGGACGCCGGAGGTGCCTGATGTGGGGTTTCGGGGTTAGGGCTTGAGGGTTTAGGGTTTAGGGAACCCTAAACCCTAAACCCTAAACCCTAATCCCTAGACCCTAAGCCCTAAACCCTAAACCCTGAGCCCTTTAGGGTTCAGGGTTCACGGGCGCGGGGTTCAGGGCTTAGGGTAGGTCCCCGCAAGGACCTCGGCCCTCAACGCGCGGACCCCGAAACCCCACAAGGGAAGTCTGTTCCATTTTCAGAAGGCTTCCTGGGGTGTGGGGTTTAGGGTTTAGGGTTCAGGTTTTAGGGTTCAGGGTTTGGGGTTTAGGGTTTAGGGTTCAGGGATTTGGGGTTTAGAGTGTGTTGGGTTGCGTTGGCTTGGCGGCTAGGTCCCTGTGGTGCTGTCGGGAATTGAAGGCTCTCTGTGTCATGGCCCCTCTCCTGGCATCCACCCCCTGGAGTTGAGGTTGCCCGAAGCCCTAAAACCCTAAAACCCCAAAATCCTAAAACCTAGACCCTGAAACCCTAAACCCTCAACCCTAAACCCTAAACCCTAAACCCTAAACCCTAAACCCTAAACCCTACAAACCTAAATCCTAGACCCTGAAACCCTAAACCCTGAACCCTACAACCCCAAGACCCCTAAGCCCCCCAAGATTGGTCAACCTACAGAGCGTGCTCGACCCGACGCAGCCGTTTCAGTTTGGCAGATTTCTTATGGCGGAAGTCTGCGGTTAGACTGGAAGAGAGAAGTGGCTTGCCTGAGTTCACTCGTCGAGTTTCATGCCTGTCGCTTTGCGTCGCGAAAAGACCCTACACCCTAAACCTACCAAAAAACTAGAAGAGGGATGGCCCGAAAGCATCGATTTGCCGTGCGTTGACTCCATGCACTTGACTCTTTGTAATCGAACTGTATGCACTTGGAGAAATGTATGCCCTTACATGGTTGCATAGTCACTTGTACACTGCACTTGTATGCACTGGAACTGCATGGCATTCAAGTGTGTGGAGTTGAATGCCATGCACTTGTGGTCAACTCTGTAGACTTTTCATCGGCGTTGAAGACAACGCCGAGCTCCAGCGGCCGGTCGCGGCACGCACCTGCGCCGGTGCAAGGAAAGAAGCAAAAACCACACAAGCACAAAAACAGACAAAAGAGGTGGAGTCTAAGTAAGGGCCGTGCATGTTGGTCGCCATGGAATACCTGCGCGCAGAAAACAGCTTTACTTGCAAGTCGGTCGACAAAGGTGCCAATCGTCCCGGGCGGTCCTAGCTGCATTTTCACACGCGCGTGCGTCGCAGTGTCCATACTAAACATAGCCCGGACGGCGTCCATGCGGTTCTGCAGCCGCGCTTTCGGGCCCTGCCTCCGCTGTGACGTCAAAACTCGCCCTGCCCCGCGGGCTGCGTCCCCACACTTTCGCAAACCCACAATACAATGCAACTTGCGCAATAGTGCGCCTGATGAAGCTGGCAATCGAAACAAAGAGGAGCTTGTTCACGCTCTGTTGCAGTGCATTTCAGAGCAGGAGGCGTCATGGGAAAGCTTCCCATAACGCCTCCTGCTCGGAAATGCACTGCAACAGAGCGTGAAGAAGCTCCTCTTTGTTTCGCTTGCCAGCTTCACAGCGCTGCTGCACGCCCGTCGCGGAAGTGTTGGTGCTGACGTCGACCAGGCTTCGAAGACCGCACCACCGCAGCATCGAGAGGCCAGTCGGAGATGTCGCTCAGGTTGTACCAAGTACCATCTTCAGGTCGGCGGCGAAGAAAACGTCCTTCGTCCAAGGCGCGGCAGCTTTCTGAACGGACTCGAGGCTGCCGCGAATCTCTGCGTAGACGCCCCCTGCACACCCGCAGCCCCAGCAAGCGCCCGCAACTGCGTCACGGTCTGCTTCGCAAGCTCCTCGCGCAGCCAAGCCACGCCGTGAGCGGCGAAACCTTCGCGCAGGCCGCGCAGCTCTTGCTGCTGCGCAGCGCCACCTCCTAGCTTGTTCCCCAGCTTCAACTCTTCCAGAACTTCTCATACGGCTACCAAGCTAGCTCGGCCAACTCTTCATCTTCCTCTTGCGTCATCTTGGTCCAGTACAGGACCTCTACTGGATCAGGATGACGCAAGAGGAAGCTGAAGCCTTGGCCGAGCTAGCTTGGTAGCCGTATGAGAAGGTCTGGAAGAGTTGAAGCTGGGGAACAAGCTAGGAGCGAGGAGGCTGAGGGATACGCGGCAAGCTTGTTGCGAGGAATGCTGCGGAACATTGCGCTTCTGCGCGAACATTGTAAAGCAGAAGCTCTGTTCCGAAGCTGTACAAATATTGCGCCCGTGTACGGCAGAGGTGTCCCTCTGTCGCCGGCCGAATTTTCGCAAGACAGCGTCCATTCGGCCGCGCGCAGTGAGAGCCTAGACTACGCGAGGCAGCTCGCCGTCCTCAACGCAACTTCACAAGCAAAAGCCTTGGGTCGCCGCACATCAGGGTTTACGTTTCGCGTGCTCGCGCCAGAGCCCTGTCCTGCGCCCGCAGCGCCAGCAAGCTCACGCAACTGCGCGACCGTCTTGTTCGCAAGCTCCTGGCGCAGCCAAGCTGCACCTCTAGCGCGGAAACCACGCCGCAGCGCCTGCATAGCATCCCCGCCGGTGTACGACATGCCTGGAACTACAATACAGCGCACCGTCCAAGCTGGCGCCACGGTTTCACTCAATAGCGCCTCTCGGGCCAAAGCTAGCACGCACGCTTGTAAAGCAACGCATCATGAGGTGGTCAACACAGCAAAATGTCAAAGCATGAATTCAGTTCTACGCATGCGGCACACGCAGACAGTGCAGGATGCCTTCTCGTGTTTCTTGATGTTGTAACACCACCTACACGCAGCAACAGTGCAAACAACAGACATGCAGCACCCGAACGCTAGCACAGACACACAGTGCGGGATGCCTTCTCCCCTTCATTGATGTCGTCGCGCCCCAGGACATCCAAATCGGACATCGCCCAAACATGTTACATTTGATCACTTCCCACAGAGAGACGAGTCTAAGCGCAGGACTGGTTGCCTCCCTCCAATCGACATCACTGTTTTCCCGCTCCACTGCATGTTCCGTGCCCATGTTATTTGCGACGTTTTCGAAGCCCAAGAGGTCCGCACGTCCGGAATTCCGCTTCCATGCTATTTGCGAGGTCTTCAAGCATGTCCGGAATTCCGCTTCCATGCTATGCTATTTGCGGTGTTTTCAAGCGCCCAGTTGTCCGTTACCATGCTATTTGCGGTGTTTTCAAGCACCACATGTCCGTTACCATGCTCTTTGCGGTGTTTTCGAGCGCCCAGATGTCCGTTACCATGCTATTTGCGAGGTTTTCAAGCATGTCCGGAATTCCGCTTCCATGCTATTTGCGAGGTTTTCGCATGTCCGGAATTCCGCTTCCATGCTATTTGCGGTGTTTTCAAGCGCCCAGTTGTCCGTTACCATGCTATTTGCGGTGTTTTCAAGCGCCATATGTCCGTTACCATGCTCTTTGCGGTGTTTTCGAGCGCCCAGATGTCCGTTACCATGCTATTTGCGGTGTCTTCATGCGCCCAGATGTCCGTTACCATGCTATTTGCGGTGTTTTCATGCGCCCAGATGTCCGTTACCATGCTATTTGCGGTGTTTTCAGACGCCCAGCGTGTCCGCGGCGTACTACGTCTGTACTACAAACAGTCGACAAGCATGTCCGGAATTCTGCTTCCATGCTATTTGCGAGGTTTTCGCATGTCCGGAATTCCGCTTCCATGCTATTTGCGGTGTTTTCAAGCGCCCAGTTGTCCGTTACCATGCTATTTGCGGTGTTTTCAAGCGCCATATGTCCGTTACCATACTCTTTGCGGTGTTTTCGAGCGCCCAGATGTCCGTTACCATGCTATTTGCGGTGTTTTCATGCGCCCAGATGTCCGTTACCATGCTATTTGCGGTGTTTTCATGCGCCCAGATGTCCGTTACCATGCTATTTGCGGTGTTTTCAGACACCCAGCGTGTCCGCGGCGTACTACATCTGTACTACAAACAGTCGACTTTCCAGCCACGGCAGCTCCGCGTGTCCGCGGCGTACTACGTTTGTACAAAATGTCAACTATCCAGCCACGGGGAAGCTCCGGGGGCGTCCGTGGCGTACTACATTTGTACTACAAAAGTCGACTTTCCAGACACGGGGAAGCTCCGGGCGTCCCCGGCGTACTCCATTTGTACTACAAAAGTCGACTTTCCAGCCACGGAAGCTCCGCGTGTCCGCGGCGTACTACGTTGTACTACAAAAATCGACTTTCCAGCCACGGAAGCTCCGGGTGTCCGCGGCGTACTACGTTTGTACTACAAAAAGTCGACTTTGCAGCCACGGAAGTCCCCGGCGTACTATGTCTGTACTACAAGAGTCGAAAAACAAAAAACGCAAAAACACGACGGTTTTGGCACCGCGACCACGCGAAAACCCGCAGAGGGGTTACGTTTGTATGTCAGGAAACGCAAAAACACGACGGTTTTGGCACCGCGCCAACGCCGACACCCGCAGAGGGGTTACGTTTGTATGTCAAAAAACGCAAAAACACGATGGTTTTGGCACCGCGCCAACGCGGAAACCCGCAGAGGGTTGACGCGCGCACGAAAAAAATGCAAAAAACGATGGTTTTAGCACCGCGACCCGGCGATTAGCCGCAGAGGGTTGTCCGCGCACCGACAAAAACGCAAAAAAACGACGGTTTTAGCACCGCGACCACGCCGAAACCCGCAGAGGGTTGTCCGCGCACCGACAAAAACGCAAAAAATCGACGGTTTTGGCGCCGCGACCACGCCGAAACCCGCAGAGGGTTGTCCGCGGACACAAAGAAACGTAAAAAAACGACGGTTTTAGCGCCGCGACCACGCCGAAACCCGCAGAGGGTTGTCCGCGGACACAAAGAAACGTAAAAAAACGACGGTTTTAGCACCGCGACCACGCCGAAACCCGCAGAGGGTTGCAATCCCGATTGGCGATGTCAACCCAGCCCGCCGCCTTAGAAAGAG